GGAAGGACGTGGGCTTGGCTTGACTTGAGGTCATATCCGAGCATTTTCCTGAAGGTTAAGAGAGATAAAATTGTTTCCGTGCTTAATTGATCAAGCACTGTGCCATGAAGACATATGTAGAAGTGGAGGTAGAATTCCACCATTCTTGACCTCGGCATTAGATGGATGTGAGTGGTCATCTCCACGCCCCGTCCCCTATACCCCGGGAAATCTGCCGCCGGTATCCATTCAATAGGAGGCTGGTTCAGCCCCACAGCCAGTCTGGACGCTGTGGAAAAGAGAAAGCTCTCGCCCCTGCAGGTAATCGAACCCCGGCAGTCCAGCCCGTAGCCTATTGCTACCGAAACCTCTCGAATAATAGAAGAAAATATACAGTGTTCGCTATATCGGCCAAAGATCCATATACTAAATTCTGGGGATGAAAAATGCAGATACTCTTAATGATGAATGACAGTGTGATTGTTCGCGCATGCGTCTCTAGGTAGAGGTGCATGTGTCTAGCTCACGCGTAATTTGAAGGGACAGAAATTTCTTATACTTCACAAACACAGGCGCTTTCGGAGAGTAATCATATGGGGTGTATTCAAATGTAGTGCGGCGTAAGTTCACCGACGTTTCGGAGGAATGCACTACCTTCGTATTCAGAATTGAAGATTAAGTCAAGCAAGCAATCGTATCGATGTCTTGGCTTACTCTTCGACCCTGAAAACGGGGCCACTATTTTCTTCCGAAACTCTGGTACATTCTTATCGGACTATACGGCGTCAGACTCCCAAGAAGTATGCTTAGCTTATTCTTCGATCCTGGAGTTGAAGCCAGTACTTCCTTTTTTTCCGAAATGTCGGTAGACTTGTACAAGACTGCACGGCGTCACAGTCATCGCCGTGAGAACCTCAAATCTCGACGTTTCTCGTCCAGTGAAAAGTGCATAACTCTTCCGTGCCTGGCCTTAAGAATGTGAACCACCCTCTGTGCTTAGTTGTGGGCCAAGCCTTGAAGACTTCTGGGGCGGGGGGGGGATAACTACACGCATTCTTAACCTAGGCAATTGATTGTGAGTGGTCATGCTCACAACCGGGGAGCGGGTTCCCAACACTCACTGGGCCGGAAATTGGGTGCGTGCCTTGACCACTAGTCTGGATACAATGGAGAAGACAAAAATCCCTTGCCCTGGCGCGGAATCATATGTTTCCTCGTTCATTTATCCAGTAGTCTAGTCACTGTGCTCACTGAGCTACGTCAGCTCTGTGAAACAAATATTGTTCCTAGCCAGTCAACTCTCCAGTTACTTAAAATTTCAATTCCACCCCCCCCATTATTAATCATCTTTCGTAATTATTTAACGACGTTTTATCAACTGCGTATCCTGCCGCGTCGAATATAAGATAATTGCGATAGAAGCGTGTCCTTAGTCGCTAGCTTCTGAACACGTACCAGGGCAGTCCATGTGGGATTTGTGGTGAACGTAGTGACTCTGGGACACGTCTCTCTTCAACCAATTACTTTCCTCCTGCCAAATGTAATTACAGTGCTCGCGTGTCACGAGCAGCTGGTTCAAAGGGCCTGTCTGAGCTCACAGTTCCAACTGACTGAAAGCCACAGTCAAAAGGGCCGGTCCGTGCCGAGGATCGAAGTCAGAATGTTCCGGATACGAAGCAACAGCAAGACCTTTCCAGGAGCGTCCGGAAACAAATATTCTGTATGTGGCGGTGAGTTTAGTGTTGCTATTTTTAGAAAGGAAGTTTTCTTATCTCGGTTTTGGTAATGAAATCTACAGGAAAGTCATTATAGCTTTACTATAAATGTTTTACGTTCTTCTGTGTAGCATGGTCGGATGTATTCGCTATTTACGTCATACTTTTTATGCTGGGAATACGTGTATACGGCTATTGTGTACAAGATCAAGGGTAGAAACGTAAAGCTATCCCTGTAACAGGCTCTTGAGGCCCATAGGGTTGTGAGACGTCGAGGCTCCCACATTTCCTAAATAATCGGCTCACAGATGGCGGTGAAGTTGTCAGCCTTACGCGCCGTACGCCATTTACCCCCCAGGAAGATTCCTGCTACTCATTTTTGTTAGAGGGTGAGTCCATCCCAGGGCCATAGTGCGGCTGGAAGATTCAAGTCAATTGAAAAACCCAATAACATCATGGGGAATCGAACCCGCGACCTTTCTGCTTGTAGTACAGTGCCTCAACCAACTGCGCTACCGCGTGCCCCGCAGTACTGGTAGCATAGCTAAATAAACCACAAAAAAGACGGTAGCCTTCAGCTGAATTTTATTCTGAGAAGACAGTGAAATTCACAGATGAATGAGGTGGTGCACATAGATACCACTGACATATATACTAGAAGTTGACAGTTCCTGATGTTTCGTGTTTCTCTTCACTTTTGTGGGCTATTTCAGACGCTGTTAGTAGCCAGACTATTGAGCGGCCAGTTGTACGTTGAAGCGGCGAACGAGGAAAGGACTTTGAAGGCAGAGACGTGGTGGGCGAAGTGGCACGGGGGCGATATTTCTACCGGTAGGCTACTTATGTTTTGCCTGCCAATACTCATTCGAGCAACTGCTCACCAGTCAATAATCGTTCTATCATCGACGCTCTACAGCGTCGTTAAATAACTTCAATATAAGAAAAAAAGAATTCATGACCTGATTGAGGTATTATGTCGTCATTTGACTGGAAGGACTGAGGAACACCAAGATAGTCGCTATTCGGCCAAGACTCGAACCAAGCACCTCCAAAACGCAAGTTTTCAGCTTTTTTTTTTATAGCTAGTGGGTGGGACTAAGTCCCTTGTACTGCGGCCACTTCTGGCCTATTGTACCAGACCCAGATGATGGGTGAGGGTGATTGTGGAGCAATTGGTGGAATGAAGAGTGGCGGGGGAAACCGAAGTACTCGGAGAAAACCTGCCCCAGCGCCACTTTGTCCACCCCAAATCCCACTTGACCAGACCCGGGATCGAACCCGCGGTGGGAAGCCGGCGACTAACCGCTTGAGCTATGGCGCGGCCCTTTGAGAGGGTTAAATCTACGGCAACTGTCTCGGCCGTATATCTCTCTCAAACAGTCGCAGATATTGCTCCTCTAACTCGCGTGGGGGTTTCAGTTTCATTAGAAATCTACCAGCGGAACAGTGTATTTCCGTGTACGCATGCGTGTTACGTTCCAAACGCCGGACAGTCAGTAGACTATATAGCTATACATACTCGTCTGTGCGTGGTTTCTGTTTGTTTACTTCATGCTGTCCCACGCTGCGCCGCTGTTGCTGATGTTGACGACCTTGACCTATCGCTAGCCTCGGTCTGAATACTATGAAGTCACATCAACTAGGAACGATAATTGTAATGTGTGATGTACGAACACGGCAGCTTTCGTGTGCTACTGGTCCCATATCTGGGTAAGACAGCGAGACTTAAAACGGGTTGCGGCAAACATTAACCGAGAGACTAATAAAGCTGACCCTGTGCTTCATGTCATGACAATGGAGAGAGGAGATACAGCTCCACCCATTCCTAACCTTTCTTCACTGGAAATCCGGTCAAGTGGTAACACTGCTTGGTATCCGGATGATGCTACCACGAGTAAGAATTCCCGTGGTCTTCCTCAGTCGCATCAGGCAAATGTGTGGATAGCGCCATGGCCACTTCATCAGTTCACTACTCACTAATCACCTCACCATTCGAAGCCGAACAGTTCTGGGCTACTAACAGTTTCGATAAATAAACCACAAGTAAAATTAACCGGAGTCCGGATAAAGCTTGGAGGTCAGCTTCCCGTCCCGGCCGTCTTACACCCGGTACAATCTGAATGAGAGACTCGGTGTGCCGTCCGACCCGTTCTTGACGCGGTAGGGAAGAGAAAATACCTGCTTCTGCTAGGATTCGAACCTCGGCCATTCAGCCCTTACCGGCATCTACGCATACACAGGGTAATTGTTGCGAGGTATTTGACAGCGTTTTTCTCTCAGCTGGAGTTCGAATGATGTCCCACGTTACGAGCGGCCTACGTGTTGCGAAATTTAAGGGTGTGAGGTGACGTAATCTTGGCCCAATTCCGGGAGTTCGCTACTGGAGACTGCGACACAGAGATGAAATCCCACGGAGATGGGCAGTGGCTGTGTTGCGATTACAGACTATACACATTTAACGCTTCGTAACTCGGTAACGGATGTTTGTTTCATTTTCTTTGCCTACTTAAAGATGCTTTATTAAACTGCAGGAACCTGGACTGCGCACTGGGTACCGCGACTGGCTACAGGATGGAAGCCGGAGAGGTCAGAGTTGTAGTCTCGGTATCGTCAAGAATTTCCTCTTCTCCACATCATCCAGACCGGCTCTGAGGTCCACCCAGGCCTTCTATCCAATGGGTACCGGGGGCACTTTCCGTGGGGGTAAAGCAGCTGGGGCGTGAAGCTGACCACTGACCTGCAACTATTGTCGAGGTCAGGAAAACGTGGATCTATTGGCCCATCCCCATTACGTCTTCATGGTGTAGTGCTTGATTATTTATGCACGGGGACAATTTTATCATTTTTTTATTAACTGCACAGGTTATGCGACTTTCTGTGAGAAATCACAAAATGAATGAAGAGATATGTAACATGTATGAAAGGTAGAAGTCAGGGCCTATTTGTTTTGCTTCCGAGACAAATATAATTACGAATTTCACTACAGATAACCATTCTTAGGGACGATATTCGAACCGAAGACATCTCAATCAGGAAGTAGGAATTTTACAGGGTAGCTAGCTTGCCCGGAACCTCGAGCAGTATACGAACTCGCGACCTCGGATCGTAGCACCGTAATACTCACGGATCAGCGATATGCATCCTCCTGCATAACAGGCGCAAAAGCCGCCACCCAGTTGCAGCCAATGGTTGTTAGGAATTACGTAATACCCAGCCAATCACACACGCAAGAAATGACATCAGTGGCTATTTTTAGCTGGTATATAATAGACGGTGAGCGCGGCAGGAGGTTTGGTTTGTGGCGTGTGAGCGCACGGAGCGTTTGCGGGATGTGTAGAAGTGTGCAGTTCGACAACAAGTGGCAGACGAGAGGCGTGAAAGGGCAGGTGCCGCTTGGAAACAAGGTAAGCACTTCGCCTGTAGTGCAAGCAGCCATTTGCAAGAGTCGGTGCATTTTCCTGCAGCTGTAGAAATACTGTTAGGTTAATTGTACAGATCTTCCTTGCGCAGCAGGGAAGTCACTGACATGCGCGAGTGCGCCTGTGCATTGTTACTACGAACAGGATAGATAGGCACGGCTTCGATACCACAGAAATTAGGCCTACGCACGAGCTATGGGCCACGCAGAAGATGATTTCGAGGTTGTATGACGTGTGCAAACTCCTTTAATAGCCTAGGAATCATAAATAATTGGCCACACACTAACAATCTAAGACGTGATTCACTTCTGGGCTCATTATATGTGTTGTATGAGTCTAATATTTCGATTACACCATTGCTGTTTCCTTGCAAATTCTATCTAGTTCTTAGGTAAGTTCGACATAAAATGAAGATACTGATGTCACGAAATGATCGACTGAAATGATAGTAAATAAATACCAAAAACAGGAGGGGGAGCATATAACACATTCGCATGCCACATGGGCACACAGTGTTGACCCACGGGAGACAAAGGCGTAAAGGTCAGGATAATATTAAAAATGATACTAGGAAAATAGGGCGTGGAATCATTTGGCTCAAGAGAGGGGGGAGTGACATGCTCTTTGAGAACACTGTTTTGAGTCTTGGGGTCGCATAAGAAGAGAGGAATTTCCAAAGAAACCAACAGATTATTGGCTTCTTGAGACTTGTTTTATAATAAGAATAGTGATTGTAATGATATCACATGGTCATTGGCTTCCGTCCTTAGTCGTATCATCAAAACATAACCTCTTATGTGACCACACGAACAGTTACGCTTCTTGTGAGCAATTTTGAATAGAGACCCAATGGATGAAGTTGTCCTCCGAAGGAAAGTTATATAGCAGTTAAACCTATAACAACAACAACAAACAAACAAACAAACAAACAAACAAACAAACAAAAAACAACAACGTGATGTTTTGGGTGCCCGAATGTAGGGAACATTTACGTGCAGTGTGAAGTAGATATATAATTAATTACTATTGCTATCATCATTAGGCCTAATAGTAACCAACTGCGTGGAACAGAGTGCTTGAGAAGCTGATAGTTGGTTAGCTAGTGAGGAAGCTCCCAGCATCATGTGGAGGCCCAAGTTTTGTTACCGTGTTCACAGCAGCCCGCCATTAGTCCGTATCCTCAGCCAGTTGAATCCAGGCCACAACCTCCCATGTTACGCACAACTACCGAATTCAGTAGCAACGCATGGACGCGTGCAGTAGTGTCATCTGGAGACGCGGTGCGCCCATCCCATATGTTCCCTGTATCTACTCCTACGCGACTCTTTCTCACCAGTCGAGCCCGCAACCTTCCCCACTCCCCACCCCCCAAATTGTCCACGTTTTGAATCTAATAACTAAGTAGTACCCGACTTGTAAGTGCACATATTTAAAATGTGGGCCCGTTGAAAACAAATTCTTAATACTTACGTACTCCCAAACTGCAGTTTGCAGTTTTATTCAAGATGGCGACGCCATTCCGTAGCTTAAACACGCAGAGCCGGCGTTCCCCATCGTCATGTACCCACCACTTCGATGGACGGGCGGTGCTGTTGAGCCTTACACTTCGGTGCGACGTCAAACAGGATTTACTTGTTGCTGGTCAAGACAGAATTAAATGAACTATAAAGTCATGAAACTCGGTTCATAGAGTGTAATCTTGTGCCTCTACGTGTACGGTACCACAACAACGGGGGACACCTTCATAGACACAAAATAAATATCAAGCATATAAACTCTACACATAAATACAAAACCACCTGCGAGGGGTACACGAGTAAATACTAAGATAACCATTTACACGACAGTTAGTAATAAAATCTACGAGAGAGAAATTAGAAGAAGGTCCCCTACACAGCACGTCGGCCCGTGATTTACAAACAACCACGACCTCAACAACATTAAACTATTTTTTAGTAGTAGCTTACTTAACTTTCAAGACTACTTTTAGAAATAAACTTAGAACTGAGCATATAATTAGTGATACTGTTTTACATAAGGACTTGTTTAAAATTCAGAATCAGTTTTAAGTCACATTACATTAATAAATTTATTAATGCTAAATAACACAATTCCAAATGTAATAGGCTTTAATTCTTTTTAATTTTAGACGACAACAGCGCATCACGGATTTTGCGTATATCATTAGTTCACATTCTGCAATAGGCGTTTTCTTCGCTATAACAACAACAGCAGACTGTAAAAATAGGGATCCATATTAAGACAAGTCAAGAACTTAGCTTGTCTTGTAGCTCGCCTCATGATGACGTAGATTAGGTCGAAACATATAGCGTACATCTTCGCACAATAAACAAGCAATTCGTGATACAGTAGTATCTATTTTGTCTTCGTCTTGAAGATAACTTTTACGTTGTAAAGACTTCCCAATTTACACGATTACAATCTACCGCCTTCCACGGAACTGAATATATAGAGAAGAATAATTTTCTGTATCGTGTGTTCTTTGGAAACGTGAAAATTCAAATATTGTATCGTTGTGTCAGATTGTGGTGTATTTATAATTGTATTTACTACCGTCAGAACAACTTAATGTGCATATACACTTTGCATTAATTATGTACTACATGTTTCGGCCATCTTCAGGTGCACCTGTTCACCTTTGGCTGCACTGCTCACTTCTTACATTGGCCAGTGTTTACAATAGGCACATTCTGTGTGAATCTTTAAACATTTCTTTTTATTGCTAGTGGGTTGGGACTAAGACCCTTGTACTACGGCCACTTCTGGCCTAGTGTATCAGCCCCAGATGATGGGTGAGGGTGATTGTGGAGCAGTTGGTGGAATGAAGATTGGCAGGGAAAACCTGCCCCAGCGCCACTTTGTCCACCACAAATCCCACTTGACCAAACCCGGGCCGCCGCGTTGGGAAGCCAGCGACTAACAGCTTGAGCTATGGCCCGGCCAATCTGCAAACTTAGTGACGGCCGAAATATGTAGTACAGAATTAATGTAAAGTGCATTTACAGAGATGTTATGCAGACGGAAATAAATTGCAGTAATAAAACAGTTAACTTTAAGGGGAGTTGTGACGCTTTGTAATCTGGTACATATGAACCAGTATTTCAGAAGAATGAACTGTGTTAGTGGTATATCATCAACCTTAAAGATGGATGGGGGTTGTTCCTTAGTTTTATATACTGAAATGGAAGCAGCAAGTTTCTCACACTTCTTTCCCGACGATGGAGGCTGTTTTTTCCTCCGAAACGGTACCTGTATACCGGAATACACGGCGAGATTTGCCAGTTATCATTGGGATAACTTGCATGCATAAAACGAAGGGAAACGTTTTAATCCAACAAGGATGAAAGGAGTATGCATTTTAGAATGTTGCCACGTCGCCTGGTATTGTTGGGGTTGTATGCAATGGCACGCTCTGAAGCTAGTGTTCACCCTTCAGGTTATATTTTTGTTCTTCTCGCCCCAACTTTAGAGCATAGGATTGATTTATCAGTTTCACTGATAATTTTTACAACGGTAGGACTCTTTGGACGGGTGATCAGCTCGTCGCAAGGCCTATACCTAGACATTGGACAACACAAACAGAGTAAACGCATACACACACACACACACCAACACACACCAAACATCAATGCCTTGTGTGAAACTCTATTCCGCGATCCCAGCTTTCCAAGCGAGCGAAGACACTACATGCTTTAGACCGCTCGGCTACCGTGACCGGCCCAAGTTATATTACCGAATGGGTAATTAATACCGCAGGTGGAAAGCAATTTACAGGTTTATAGAATGTGCATATATTCTGCGTTATGTATATATCCTGCTCCACACAGTCTTGTACTTCTGTTTATGTGCGGATATCCGCTGCGTTGTGTGTTGCTCCTGCACCACACAGTCCTGTACTTCTGTTTATACGCGGATATCCCCTGCGTTGTGTGTTGCTCCTGCACCACACAGTCCTGTACTTCTGTTTATACGCGGATATCCCCTGCGTTGTGTGTTGCTCCTGCACCACACAGTCCTGTACTTCTGTTTATACGCGGATATCCCCTGCGTTGTGTGTTGCTCCTGCACCACACAGTCCTGTACTTCTGTTTATACGCGGATATCCCCTGCGTTGTGTGTTGCTCCTGCACCACACAGTCCTGTACTTCTGTTTATACGCGGATATCCCCTGCGTTGTGTGTTGCTCCTGCACCACACAGTCCTGTACTTCTGTTTATACGCGGATATCCCCTGCGTTGTGTGTTGCTCCTGCACCACACAGTCCTGTACTTCTGTTTATACGCGGATATCCCCTGCGTTGTGTGTTGCTCCTGCACCACACAGTCCTGTACTTCTGTTTATACGCGGATATCCCCTGCGTTGTGTGTTGCTCCTGCACCACACAGTCCTGTACTTCTGTTTATACGCGGATATCCCCTGCGTTGTGTGTTGCTCCTGCACCACACAGTCCTGTACTTCTGTTTATACGCGGATATCCCCTGCGTTGTGTGTTGCTCCTGCACCACACAGTCCTGTACTTCTGTTTATACGCGGATATCCCCTGCGTTGTGTGTTGCTCCTGCACCACACAGTCCTGTACTTCTGTTTATACGCGGATATCCCCTGCGTTGTGTGTTGCTCCTGCACCACACAGTCCTGTACTTCTGTTTATACGCGGATATCCCCTGCGTTGTGTGTTGCTCCTGCACCACACAGTCCTGTACTTCTGTTTATACGCGGATATCCCCTGCGTTGTGTGTTGCTCCTGCACCACACAGTCCTGTACTTCTGTTTATACGCGGATATCCCCTGCGTTGTGTGTTGCTCCTGCACCACACAGTCCTGTACTTCTGTTTATACGCGGATATCCCCTGCGTTGTGTGTTGCTCCTGCACCACACAGTCCTGTACTTCTGTTTATACGCGGATATCCCCTGCGTTGTGTGTTGCTCCTGCACCACACAGTCCTGTACTTCTGTTTATACG